TCCCTCTAGTATCTAAAAATCAATGAAGAAATACCCTCAGGTGAGAATTAACAAAAATAAATAAAACAATTTTATTAAGATAAAAAAGGAAAAGATTATAAGCCAACATTACTGATGAATATAGATTTACAACAACAAACCTAATTAGTAGCAAATACATTCAACAGCATATGAAAAGAATCATAAACTGTGATCATGTGGGATTTATCCCTTGAATGCATGGATGGTTCATCATAAACAAATCAATAATGTGCTTTACCACCTTAACAGAATAAAGGTAAAAAAAAAAAATCTTATGGTCATATCACTAGATACAGAAAAAGCATTTAACAAAATTCAGAATACTTTAATTAAACTCACAAAAAATTAAGTATAGAAGGTATGTACTTCAATACCAGAAAGACCACATATAAGACCACAGCTACCCACATATTCAACAGTGAAAAGGTAAACATTTTTTTTTCTAAGATCAGGAGTAAGTGAAGAATGCACACCCTTACTGGGGCTTTTCAAAACAGTACTGGAGCCCTGGCCGGTTTGGCTCAGCGGTTAGAGCGTCCGCCTGCGGTCTGGAGAGACCCGGGTTCGGTTCCCGCTAGGGGCATGTGCCTTGGTTGCAGTTTGTCCCCGGCCCTGGTTGGTCGTGCGGGTGGCGGCCACTCGATGTGTCCCTTTCACATCGATGTTTCCCTCTCTCTCCCTTCCTCTCTCTCCCTCCCACTCTGTCTGTACAAAAAATGGAAAAATGTCCTCGGGTGAGGATTAAAAAAAAAAAAAAAAAAAAAAAAAAAAAACAGTACTGGAAGTTCTAGCCAGAACAACAGCCTGAACAGAAATCAAAGAGAAATAAAAGCTATAGACAGGAAAGAGAAATGAAAGATATCCCAATAAAAATAAAGTAAAACTGCCTGTATTTGCAGATGACATTAACTTATATAAAGAAAATCCTAAAAACGCCACTAAAAGAAAACTCCAGTAGGAATAAACAAGCCCAATAAATTTTCAGAATTCCAAATCCAATTCAAAAGTCAGTTGCATCTATACACTAACAATAAAATATCTCAATAAGAAATCAATCTCAGTTACAATACCATTAAAAACAATAAAATACTCAGGAATACTTAGAAATGAAGAAATTGAAAGATCTAAACTCTGAAAACTGAAGACAAAAATGAATAAAAAGACATCCTGTGCTCTTAAACTGGAAGAATTATTATTGTTAAAATATCTCTACTAACCAAAGCAACATAATGATTCCATGCACTCTCTATCAAAATCCAATGGAATTTTTAGTAGAAATAAAAAACAAATCCTAAAATTCAAACCACAAGCGATCCCTAACAGTCAAAGCAATTATGATAAACAAGATCAACAGCAGACTTAGAGGCATTACATTTCATGATTTAAAACATACTACAGCCCTGGCAGGTTTGGCTCAGCGGTTAGAGCGTTGAACAGCAGACCAAAAAGTTGCTCGGGTTCGATTACAGTCAAGGGCACACACCTTAGTTGCAGTTCGGTCCCCAGCCCTGGTCAGGGTCTTGCGGGAAGCAACTAATCAATGTTTTTCTCCATCTCTCTCCCACTCTATCTGAAGATAAATGAAAAAAAGTATCCTTGGGTGAGGATTAAAAAAAACTTAAATGTAATACATGAAAATGTAAAACTCCTTGAAAAAATAATAAGCTCTTTGATATTGATTTTGGCAATGATTTTTTTGAATGTCACTAAAAGTCAACAAAAAGACAAAAATAAATGAGCCAGGCTACATCAAACTAAAAAGTATCTGCATAGCAAAGAAAGCAATCAATAAAATCAAAAGTGAGAAAATATTTGTAAAAGCTGTCTAATAAGGGATAAATATCTAAAATATATAAGGTGTTCATACAACTCAATAGCAAAAGAACAATCCAATTAAAAAAGGGCAACCCTGACCAGTGTGGCCCACTTGGCTGAACGCTGTCACATGCACCAAGAGGTCATCAATTTGATTCCTGATCAGGGCACATGCCTGGGTTTCCAGCTCAATCCCCAGTGGGGAGTCGGAGGATGCAGGAGGCAGCCAATCGATGTCTCCCTCTCTCATCGATGTTTAAGTATCTCTAAAATCAATTTTTAAAAAATTTTTAACGGGAAAAAAACCCAAATCAGTATTTTATCAAAATCTAAAAATGGCCAACAGTTATATAAAAAAGTTTTCTTCCTACAGGTTTTCAGCACTCCTCCCAAAAAGAGCCCACACAAAACACACACACGAACATTTATGCAAATATTCTTCACTAATCACCAGGAAAATGGAAATCCAAACTACAATGATATCACCACTTACTTAACAACATGGCTAACATCAAAAGAGCAGAGAGAGCCCTGGCAGGTTTGGCTCAGCAGTTAAAGCATCGGCCCGCAGACCAGAGATTCCTAGGTTCGGTTCCCGCTAAGGGCACATACCTCAGTTGCAGTTTGTCCCCAGCCCCAGTTGGGGTCGTATGGGTGGCAACCAGTTGATGTTTCTCTCTCTCTTCCTCTCTCTCTCTCTCTCCTGCTCTATCTGAAGATAAATGCAAAAATGTCCTCAGGTAAGGATTAAAAAAACAAAAAAGAGCAGATAGTAAGTGTTGGTACAGGTGTAAATGTACTGGAACCCTTGTACACTATAGTTGGAATGTAAAAAAATAAAAGGCCCTGGCCAGTTTGGTTCAGCGGTTAAAGTGTCGGCCTGCAGACCAGAGTCCAGTGTTCGGTTCCGGCGAGGGGCATGTACCAAAAAAAAAAAAAAAAAGTCAAAATAATAGGAAAAGAGTAGAATACCAAGATCTGGGGTGCAGTGGAAAATGGAAACCTGTTGGTCAAAAGGTAAATGTTACTAGGTAAGGTGAGTGAATTCTGATGCTATAATTAAGAGCATGGTGACTATAGTTACATACCTGAAATTTATTGAGACCAGATTTTTTTTTTTTATAATCCTCACCTGAGAACATTTTTTGTTCAGATAGAGTGGGAGGGAGAGGAAGAGAGGGAGAGAGAAACATCAATGCGAAAGGGACACATCGAGTGGTCGCCACCCCACCAGGGCCGGGGGAAAACTGCAACCGAGCCACGTGCCCTTAGCGGGAACTGAACCCGGGTCTCTCTGGACCGCAGGCCGACGCTCTAACTGATGAGCCAAACCGGCCAGGGCTTGAGAGCAGATCTTAAGCATTCTTAGCATAAAAAAATAACCAGGCAACTTTATTTTTTTATTTTTTATTTTTTTTATCCTCACCCGAGGACATTTTTCCATTTTTTGTTCAGGTAGAGTGGGAGGGAGAGAGAGGAACAGAGAGAGAGAGAAACATCGATGTGAAAGGAACACATCGAGTGGCTGCCACCCGCACAACCGACCAGGGCCGGGGACAAACTGCAACCGAGGTACCCGCCCTTAGCGGGAACCGAACCCGGGTCTCTCAGGACCGCAGGCCGACGCTCTAACCGCTGAGCCAAACCGGCCAGGGCATAACCAGGCAACTTTATACAGTGGTGGATATTTAATTAATGTCACTTTGGCAAATATTTCACTATATATATATATAATCAGCCCTCTGTGTACTTTTTTTTTTAGTCCTCACCCAAGGACATTTTTGCATTTATCTTCAGATACAGCAGGAGAAAGAGAGCGGGAAAGTGAGAAAGAGAAACACTGATGTGAGAGACACACCGAGTGGTTGCCACCCACAGGACCCCAACAGGGGCCTGGGACAAACTGCAACCGAGATACGTGCCCTTAGCAGAAACCGAACCTGGGACTCTGCTGTCCCTAACAGCTGAGCCAAACCGCCCAGGGCTGTATACTTTGATATATACAAGTTTGCATCTCAGTAAGGCTAGGGAAAAAAAAAGGAAATCAGAACTGAATACTACAAATTGTGCAAAAGACTGGTAAAAAAAAGCCCATGGTTCAGATAAGTAATGACCATGACAATACCTGCAACTCCTGGCACAGGTAGGCAGGAGGAAATAACAGTTAAAAGAAGGGATCGGCCCTGGCCAGTTTGGCTCAGTGGTTAGAGCGTTGGCCTGCGGTCCAGAGAGACCCGGGTTCGGTTCCCGCTAAGGGCACGTATCTCAGTTGCAGTTTGTCCCCGGCCCTGGGTGGGTTGTGCGGTGGCAGCCACTCGATGTGTCCCTTTCACATCGATGTTTCTCCCTCCCTCCCACTCTATCTAAACAAAAAAATGGAAAAATGTCCTCAGGTGAGGATAAAAAAAAAAAAAAGGGATCAATCCTCACTGGTTAGAGCATCCGTCCTCCTGTGGACTGAAGGGTCTTGGGTTCAATTTCCAGGAAGGGGCAGGTTGCAGGTTCGAACCCTGGCCTCAGGGTTGTGTGAGAGGCGAATCAATATGTCTCCCCCCCCCCAACTCTATATAAAATTAAATAGAAAATATCCTTGGGTGAGGATTAACAACAAAAAACACTGGATCAGCCTTGGCCTGTGCAGCTCAGTGGTTGAGCGTCAACCTATGCACCAAAAGGTTGCTGATTCAATTCCATGTCAGGCCACATGCCAGGGTTTCAGGCTCAAGCTCCAGTTGAGGACATGCAGGAGGTGGTCAATCGGTGTTTCTTTCTCGTCGATGTATCTATCTCTCTCTCTCTCCTTTCCACTTTCTCTAAAAATCAATAAAAACTTTTTTTTTTTTTGAGAAGAAATCAAACGTTGGGAGACATAAGTGATATGTATCTGGACATATTAGCGCAGGTACTGAGAGAGAAAGCATGGTGAATCCATCAATCTCAATGCAATACTACCGACCTTGGATCCTTTCCTAACAGGGTTCAGTATTGAGACTGCAGGGGAGAGAATAGGGCAGTACAAACAAACAAGCCCTAGCACTACAGCAACTACCCAGAAAACTGAGGAAGTAAGCAGTGCCTGTGGTCCAACCCTAAAGAGTGAGAGAGGTGATGGCGTGGAGGAAGTAGAGATTAGTCCAAGTCACTAGTGAGGCTGTGGGTCTTACCCAGAGAGGATATAAGTGCAAAGTTCTCCAGCATCACATGCAGGTAAAGGCGTCTCTGAGCCTCATCAAGGAGCCTCCATTCCTCCCGGGAGAAGTACAGGGCAACATCCTCAAGGGTCACAGTGGCCTGTTATAACAGGGAGAGAAAAACCATGAACATTCTGTCTCTGAAAACCCACGATCCATCTCCCCACACACCTATCCCATACTCATCCTCCAAAGCTCCCACCTCAGAGGAATTCCATACCTAGGTGCCACTGATGCCCACCCTATCCTCAAGGTCCCTTTACTCATGATGTTCAGCCCTCAGCAACACCAGGCAGGAAGGCACAGAGATGCAATCCAATTCTGGTCCTGACTTGTAGGGCCTCATCCATCCAGTCATTAACTCCCCCCTGGGTCTCTAGATTTTGACAAGACAAAGCTGTGAGGCCGGAGAGCTCCGGGGAGTCACATGACCCGGAAGTCGCATGACCCGGAAATGGATAGCCAGAGGAGAAATTCAAACCTAACTGGGGAGGCTCCGCCTTACCCAGATGTGGCTGAGGGGACATTCCTGGTCACGTCCCACCACCCTTCCCAGCCAATCAACATACGCCACACCTAATCACCCCACCCAGGTCCCTAGCGTCCCTATAAATCTTCCCCAGGCGAAAGTACCAGCACGACTTTCCTGGCCCCCACCACGGGGACCAGTGAACTTCACCCAGAAACGCTTCAATAAAACCTTTGCGACTCAGTTTCTCTTTCTTCCTCAGCGAGATACCTTCCAACAGCCAAGCTTAGGCTCATCCCTCACCCTTCGGCCCGAAATTCGGGGGCCCTGCGACCATAACCCACACTTCCTCTTCCAGTGCACATCACCCTGTACATTGTCCCTCTCACACCTTCCGACCCCAGTTAGTTGCATTCCCACAGGTACACATTTGGGGAGATGTTGCTTGGAAAGCCTCTTCCATACATCTGGCTCTCGCTTCAATATTCACTCTCTGAAGCTGATGTGGGTTTGAGTTGCCCAAGAGCCTCTTCCGCTTCCGTGCTGGCCCCTCAGCAGCCACAACGTCCTCTCTCCACTCAACCTTCCTTCAAACCCCCGTCCTGACGGTCTCCGTGCCAGGCACAGCGACACTCACAAATGACCACGTCTGCCCCAGACCTTGGCCACCACACAGACCGAATCCCCCTGAGCCCTGCACAGCACCCCACAGTTCTGGGGAGCCCGTGCGTGAGGAACAAGCAGGAGCCTTGTCGCGTCATCGCACGACGCCGCTGCCTCCAGAACCCTCGTGTCCACTCATCCTCCGGGAGCCCGGTCACCTGCAGGGCTGTTCGCTCTCCGGTTTCCGTGACCCCTTCCCGCCTTCGCCCGCATCTCGATGCCCAGCGGCACCCTGAGGAGATGCACAGCAAACAAACAAACTCATCGTGAACTCCGCTCTTTCTGACCAACTAGTAGCATCTGCATGTGATTCACCGGGGCCTGGGCTGCAGGGGGTGACGGGCGCCCGCACCCGAGCTGCAGAGCTCGGGGTGGGAGGCGGGAGGCCCGGGGGACGCGCTCTCACCTCAGCCGGGCGCCTCAGCGTGGTCGCCGCCATCGGGCTCTGCGGGCGGAACCTGGGCGAGGAGGCGCCCTCGGCCACTGCGGCTTCTGCTTCGGCCCTGGCGGGGGTCACCGAGCCTGAGACCCCCAGGATGTGAGGCGGGGACCACAACTCCTTCGCGCCTTCACCGCTTTGTCACCTCACAACCGACAAAGCGCTCTGGCGCCAGGACACACTCAGAAAGAGCAGTAAGAATGGCCGCCAGGAGGAGGACGCCGGAAGTCCCGCCCCAAGGGGAGGAAATCTCACGGAAACGCTTTCATCCTGGGGTGTCATTGGCTGGACTCAGCGCATCGTCTTCTGGGTAATGTAGTTCCACGAGCTCTAGAGGCTGTAGGGAAGGGAGTGAGTTCTCCATCCTGACCTACTAGAATTTTTGCCAGTGGAAGGACCCTGAAGTGATGCCCTACCTCCAGGGAAGGGCTGGTTCCTTGTTAATTGTAGCAAAAACTCAATTCTGACTCTAGCTACCTGAAGATTGGTTAAGGGTTCAGTACCACAAGACTGTGCCCCTCTCCACCGCAGATGCCAATTACAAGTCCAGGAGTTACCTGTGTTTCAGAACAGCAGGCTATTTTTATTTATGTTTTTATTAATTTTAGAGAGGAAGGGAGAGGGAAAGAAACATCCTTGTGAGACAAATATCTCAAACTAGAGACCTTTTGGTGCATGGAGGACATTCAACCAACTGGCCAGGGCACAACAAGGCCATTTTTTTTTTTTTTTATCCTCACCCAAGGACATTTTTCCATTTTTTGTACAGATAGAGTGGGAGGGAGAGAGAGGAAGAGAGAGAGAGAGAGAGAGAGGACGGGGCAGTGCCTGGCGCATGTGACCTAGGCTTTTGCTGTGTCATGCTTATGTAAGGAAGTAGGGTTTGCACAACCAGTACCAGGGTCATGTCCTGAACCAAGGCCTCTTAATAACAACAAGCCAGGGTCCCAGGCCCTACCAGTCCACCCTCTAGAGGCTGGGGTGTCAGGCCTTGACCCATAAAGCATTTCCCTGTGCCTAGAGCCCACAACAATACAGGGTGCAGCATATAACCAAGAGACCTCCTTTGAAGTCTGCTACACATCTTTCCCTCACAGGGGTCGGTGGCCTATAAAACACTCCTGGGCTGCCCAGCCAGGTTAAACCTCTGTATACCTAGTGTCGGCTGGAGGGGGAGGCTTTCCCTCCTCAAAGGGGCTGGGGTTTTCCTCTGCTTCTGCAGAGGGCTCCTCCCATTCTGCCCTAAACTATATAGGTCCTAGCAAGGAATACAGCTCCTACATCAAGGGGCTGGTAAAAAAACAACAACCGAGACTTTTGTTCCAAGTAAGCTCCCCACTTTGTCAAAGTGGGAGTTTGCACCACCCCCATGTGTGGTCAAGTAGCCCAAGACCATAATCACCCCTCTACCATGTAGTGGTTTACACTGTGACAGGACAAGGATCAGAGTGACACTTTCACTGGCCAATAAGGCTACATACACCGCTGGAGTGAGGACTCTCAGCTCCCTTCAAGGACCAGAACCTGTAGGGTTGGGGTGAACAAAATGTAACCTTGAGATACACATTCTCAAGACCTGGCCAGCCAAGGATCAAAGTATGCCTGTGGATAGATAAGCTTTGCCTGGAGGGTAGGAATACCACTCTGTTGGAATTGAGTGTATTGAATATATGTAAATAGATAAGGTTTGCATGTCAAAGAGCAGGAACACCCAGAAAAGAACAATGGGCAGAAAGCCCAGGGTGGATGGGTTTGGTTTTTTTTCTTGTATCTCCTTTTTTTTTTTTAATCCTCACCCGAGGACATTTTTCCATCTTTTTTTTGTTCAGGTAGAGTGGGACGGAGAGAGAGGAACAGAGAGAGAGAGAGAAACATCGACGTGAAAGGAACACATCGAGTGGCTGCCACCCGCACAACCGACCAGGGCCGGGGACAAACTGCAACCGAGGTACATGCCCTTAGCGGGAACCGAACCCGGGTCTCTCAGGACCGCAGGCCGACGCTCTAACCGCTGAGCAAAACCGGCCAGGGCTCTTGTATCTCCTTTGATGTTTCTCCGCTGAAAAAAAAATAGAGACAAGAAATGTACTGGGCTTGGATGTATGGTCAGCAGAGAAGCCACAGCAAGGAAATAATTGCCAAAACACCATGTAACCTGGGGAACTCAATGCCATTGACCTAAACTCCCAGAGGCCTTCATGACAACCAAAGAACATTCTTCACTAACTAACCCCTGAATAATCGCTAACCCCAGGGTAATAACTAACCCTTGAGTAATCCTGGGCTCGGCGCCAGGAATAATCTATTGAAAACATCTTGACCTTTGAGATGTCTGGGAAACTGAGTAACAGGTAATTAACTAACCGCTAAATTTCGCTTCTGTAACATGCTTGCTTACACATAGCACCCCCCTTACAAAATCCTATAAAAAGGAGCCATTTTAGCTCTCCGGGGCCGCAGTTACTCCTATGTGGGACATACCTTAGGTGCCTGCGGACTTAGCTCAATAAACTCCTTTTATTAAACCCCATCTCGGCGTCTGAGTTTGGTCGATCTCCTGGGTTACAACAGAACCACTTTGCAAATAAATTGGGCTTCATCCAGAGGTCTGAAGCATTTGCTCCCTTGTGATACTCTCCCTCACTCCAAGCAGTGTCTGTTTGTAATTCATTGCATTGCGTCGACCCCCAGTTGGCTGAGAGACACCAAGACGCCAATAGGACTCTTCCAAGCCCCTTGTTTCTGCCAGGGACCCCAGCCAGACCCTGAGCCATCCACCTGTCCAGTCAAGAGAAATGGCAAAGCCGGATCCACGACTTGCAGCATCTGCACTTCGTCTTCTGCCTGTTACGTGGCCAGAAACCCTTGCTCCACAGCAGGAGATCAGTCCTGGAGAGTAGGCGGCTAAAAGCATATTTTCTTTCTTTTTTTTAATCCTCAACCGAGGATATTTTTCTACTTATCTTCAGATAGAATGGGAAGAAGGGAGAAACATTGATATGAGAGGGACACATGGACTGGTTGCCTCCCACAGGACCCCTACCAGGGCCAGGGACGAACTCCAACCAAGGTACATGTCCTTGACTGGACTCATTGGTCCTTGGGCCGACGCTCTAACCACTGAGCAAAATTGGCTCTAAAAGCATATTTAAAAAAAAAAAACTTATCAAATAGTATACTGCATGTATGAGCAGTTTTTCATCTGAATTATACTTTGAAAAAGATGTAGCCCAGACAGTGTGGCTCAGTAGTTGAGTGTCAACCCATACACCAAGAGGTCGCCGGTTCAATTCCCAGTCATGGCACATGCCAGGTTGTGGGCCAAATCCCCAGTGGGGGGCATGCAGGAGGTAGCCAGTTGATGTTCTCTCTAATCGATGTTTCTATCTCTCCCTCTCCCTTCCTCCCTCTAAAATCAATAAAGAAAAAAAAATTTTTTAAGCTGTAAAAATGGTTCTGCATTTATCAAAATCTCTACATTTTGCGCTTTTAAGAAAATATGTTTAAGAACATTATATTGAACTTACCGTTGCTCTCCTCATGCCTTGGGGGGGTCAGTCTTGCCTCAGTGGAAGATAGTTTTGGTGAATAATAAAGGACATTTCCACCCGGGTCAACAGAAATACTAACTGGGTCGCAAGAGAAACCACCCAGGACTGCAGATCATCACCTTTACACCTTTGTGCTCCTGCCTCTGCACTAGTGGCCTTGAGAATAGTATCACTGAGGAACCACAGAATCCCAAACCTGCACATGGGAGAACAGAGGCAACCTTCTCCAAGCACACTGGGGTAGTGGCTGCTACACACTTTGAAGACTCACCAAATGGTAGAGGTAGAACACCTTTGGCCATAGAAGAGGAGAGGACATAAATTCAGATCAGATAGATGGCTCCTTGGTTTACTTTAGTGTCATTACACTAAACAAGACAATAGGACAGTCCCTAAAACTGGTGTGAACTCTCCAATGTTAAGAGGGCAGAGATTTATGGCTGAACAATTTCCCACAAGTTACTACATGCTTGAAGCCTTTATTTTTATTTATTTTTCATCCTCACCCGAGGACATTTTTGCATTTATCTTCAGATAGTGCGGGAGGGGGAGAGGGAGGAAGAGAGAGAAACATAGACATGAGAGAGACACATCAAGTGACTGCCATCCACATGACCCCAACCGGGGCTGGGGATGAACCGCAACCCAGGTACATGCCCCCAGCAAGAATTAAACCCGGGACTCTCTGGTCTGCAGGCCGACGCTCTAACCGCTGAGCCGAACTGACCAGGGCCATTCTTGAAGACTTTAAACAGTTTAAACTCTGACAATAATGTAGGGCAGTGCTACTGGTCAAAGATTTCCCACATCCATTGCACTCCTAAGGCCTTTTTCCTACGTGATCTCTCTGATGAAAGCAGAAGCCATAATTCTGGTAAAATATTTTCCACATTCGTGGTACACAACACAGCCTTCCAGTACAGACTCCCTGGTCCTGAACAAGTGTGTGGTGGCAGCCAATAGCTTTCTTACATTCTTTCATTGTGTAATCACTTTTTTCTTAATTGAAACATCACAATTATAATTAACAAGAAATCATGAATGTATAATACCTGCAGTAAAAACAAAAAACCAATAGTAAGCCTGTAGCAATCTTTTTATTTAAGATTTAAAGCAAATACACTCAAACACAACCCAAAATTTGAAAAACATTAAAACTAAGACATGTAACAGAAGAGATGAAGAAATTTTAAACACTTGAGAGAAATTAGAAAAATCACTCCTAAATGAAAACAGAAAATATCTTTATCATGCTGCCCCTGGCACAATGAAGACACTTCAGGGAAGCTCATGGTACAGGAACACTGTACAAGCTTTTCTTCCCTATGGGACATCTTTATAATGTAACCAAGTCCATTTCTCCCCTCTTAAATGTGTGTCCTTAAAATGTTCAGGGTCCACATGCTTGTCATTCCTGGTTGCTGCTCTTTTTATAATTCCACAGCACACATCACCTTATAATTTAGTATAACAGGTTTTTTTTAACACTTATTCTATCCTTCAATAAGGGCTTTGAACAAGATCTGATAGCAAACACATTTCTTTATTTACTGATGTATAATGTAGATCTAGGTGAGCCTCTGAAACAAGTAAGTAAATAATAGTTGGATCAATAAAACATGCCATGAATCTCCTTCCACATCTTAGTACTCTCACATCAGTATATCATTCTCACCTCACTATTTTTCCCTCAAGTTCGCACAAATGAAAGCACCCACTTTGTAGAAACAAGAACTTCACGGTAGCCAAGTCTCCAGCACAGCCACCGCTCAAGCTAATTCTCTCATCTCTTAGGACTCATATCCTTTAGTTACCACACATGGAGACATAGTTTTTCTCAGGCTTCATAGAGCCTTTTGTCTTCTAGGTATAGAAGGAAGGCTCATTGTACAACTCCATTAATCAACATTTCTGCAATTTGCTCATAATTCTTTTCCCGAAATAGTCTGCAACCCTGATACAGACACTGTCACTGCATCTACAGGTAAAATAATTATTTCCTGACAAGGCAGGGAAATCCTGAAATCCAAAACCCTTATCTCAGCTTCAAGGGCCCACTTTCCACACATTCATGGAAGGACATTGTACCCAATCAGGCAGCAAATGTAAAATTGGTACGGGACTACTATTCCCAGATGCATGTCATATTTTTAGAAGTTTGAAATAGACAATATCTTAGAAAATTTAGAAAGAAATGTCATGTGGAAAAACAGGTAAAATAATCATTATTTTCCCATGAGATGAGATGTTTGAATCTAAAACTTTTTCATAGGTTCAGTTGCCCTCTTTCCACACCTTCATAAATGCACGAATTGCACTAGCATGGCAGCAACTGTAAATTCGCTATGTAACCACATTCCCAGAAATATGTCATATTGTTAGGAAAAGTAGGCCATATCCCAAAAAATTCGGTAAGAATTGTTATGGAGGAAAACAATTATTCCCTGGGGTTGGAACACAAGTACCGAGAGTGGGCCAGATGGAATATATTCTGAGGAAACAGAAGGCATGGTCTCGCACCACCACTTCCTTTAGGGCTGCCTAATATCTCCCCGCCATGCTTCCTCCTCACCTGTCTGGAGTAGTTTGCTCTAATTGCTGAGTGAACACCCTGGGCCTCCTGATGTTCATTCTAAGGGCTCTCCTCTCTCCATGAATTCAAGTATGAATGCTGTGCATTTTAATCAGTTTTTGAGTGAATTTTAGTGTCTTTATAACATGTGTTGGATATGCATTTTTGACCTTCTCAGGACAAGAGTTACAACTGGATTCTGTAGGAGTACTTACTGATGTTTTTTATAAAGGTGGGTGTTAAAACTTCCCACTGATTTAGTGAAAAGATGACACAATTAACAGGTCGATAAAATATTGTAAAATACAAAAAGCAACATAATCATGCTTGTAAAGAATCTGAAAGCTTGCCCTGGCCGGTTTGGCTCAGCAGTTAGAGCATCGGCTTAGGGACCAGAGAGTCCCAGGTTCGGTTCCCGCTGGGGGCATGTGCCTTGGTTGCAGTTTGTCCCAGGCCCTGGTTGGGGTCGTGTGGGTATCGACCACTCGATGTGTCTCTCTCATATTGATGTTTCTCTCTCTCTCTCTCTCTCTCTCTCTTCTCCCCTCTCTCCCTCTCGTTCTAATTGAGGATAAATGCAAAAGTGTCCTTGGGTGAGGATAAAAAAAAAAAAGAATCTGAAAGCTGAAAAATGAAACTGATGTTAGAATTCAAAGATTGAAGTTTGAACTGTGCTTGCAACTGACCTGACCCCAAGTCTGTGTTCCAGGAACCTTAGATGTGACCATGGTTATTATTCTCTTTAAAATAATCTACATTAGCCTGGCCTGTGTGGCTCAGCAGATTGGCCGTCGATCCACATACCAAGAGGTCACCAGTTTGATTCCAGGTCAGGGCACATGCCTGAGTTAAGGACTAGCTCCCCAGTGGGGGGCATGCTGGAGGAAGCCAATCGATGTTTCTCTCTTATCAATGTTTCTATCTCCCTCTCCCTTCCTCTATCTGAAAATCAATAAAAACATATTAAAAAAAAATAAGAAAATGTGACATAAACACACATGCTTCCCATATAATGAATAGTGATATAAAAATCACCCTACCACTGATGTTTGAATGTATGAGCTAAACCTCAGACAAATGAGGTCTGCGTTTCCTCCAGTATTGTTTACACTGAAGCAAGAACCCATACATTTCCTACACATCTAAAAATGTCCTCCAGTGTGACGTCTCAGGTGTCCAAAGAGGTTAGAGATTTTGCTAAAAGAGAACCAATATTCGCCCTGGCCAGTTTGGCTCAGTGGTTGGAGAGCATCAGCCTGCGGACCAGAGTCCTGGGTTTGGTTCCCACTAGGGCCACATACCAAAAAAAAAAAAGATAACCAATATTCACTGCACTGAAAAAGCCTTTCTCCTGTGTGACCTCTGATGAGAACAAAGATGAGAGTTCCTGATGAAAGACTTCCCACATTCACTGCACTCATAAGGCCTTTCTCCAGTGTGAAGTCTCTGATGATAACGGAGTCCAGAGTGACAGGTAAAAGATTTCCCACATTCATTGCACTCATGAGGCCTTTCTCCAGTGTGAACTCTCTTATGATAACTAAGGCCAGGGCTAGTGATGAAAGATTTCCCACATTCACTACATTCGTACGGCCTTTCTCCAGTGTGAAGTCTTTGATGATAACGGAGTCCAGAGCTACAAGTAAAAGATCTCCCACATTCACTGCACACGTAAGGCCTTTCTCCAGTGTGAACTCTCTGATGATAACGAAGACCAGAGCTACAGGTAAAAGATTTCCCACATTCACTGCACTCATAAGACCTGTCTCTGGTGTAAATTCTCTGATGAAAATGAAAGTGATAGTTGCTCTTAAAAGATTTCCCACATTCACTGCACTCATAAGGCCTTTCTCCAGTGTGAACTCTCTGATGATAATGAAGGCTAGAGATTCTGGCAAAATATTTTCCACATTCACTGCACTCATAAGGCTTTTCTCCAGTATGAACCCTTTGATGTTGAACAAGGTTGAAACTTTGGCTAAAAGATTTCCCACATTCACCACACTCATAAGGCTTCTCTCCAGTGTGAACCCTTTGGTGTTGAATGAGGCTAAAATTTTGGCTAAAGGATTTCCCACATTCACTGCACTCATAAGGCTTCTCTCCAGTGTGAACCCTTTGGTGCTGAATGAGGTTTGGAGTTTGACTAAAGGATTTCCCACATTTGCCACACTCATAAGGCTTCTCTCCAGAATGAACTCGGTGATGTAGAATAAGGCCATTGCGATTTCTAAAGCATTTCTCACATTCACTGCACTTATATGGCTTTCCCCCTGTGTGAACTTTTTGATGATAACGAAGGGCAGAGATGCCTGTAAAAGATTTTTCACATTCACGGCAGACAAAACACTGCCTTCCAGAGTGGACGGCTTGGTCTGGAACAAGTGTGTGGTTGCAGCCAATGGCTTTCTTACCTTCTTTCCCTGCGTAAACTTTTTTTCTCCTTTGAAAAGTCAGCTCAGAGATCGAGATTTTATTTGAACTGTCCCTGGTGTGGCTAGCCTGTTTTTGGATATATCCTGAGCTGGTCAGCACATCCAGCCCAAGTTCCTCGGTGGTGAAAAGCTCCTGGGACACACTGAAACTGCAGCCCTTCCCAAGTGAGGGCCTGTCCACAGCTGGTACAAGAGCCTTTTCTCTCTTGTGCTGTTCCTGCTTCTGGTGACATTCTGCAGTGAAATAACACGGTTTTGCACATGCCCCACACCTCAACAGTTTTGGGCTGTGTTGTGTTCCCGGCTGCTCCACCAAGTGGAAAATGTCTTTCAAGACCGGCCCACAACTCTCACAGGGGTGGGTCTTCTGGGCAGATGAAGCCACCTTGGGATTCTTTGCCTGTGGCACTCTTACAGAAATGTTCTGTTCGGTGGGTGCCTCCACACCCTGTGCTCCACAGCAGCAACCTGAACAAAAGAAAAGGATGGTGAATTACACGTTGACCTTAGAGCAAGAGGTAATCTCAGCACAAATGTCCATCTGTCATACCTAGGCATGTTTCTGTGCAATGATTTTTTGTTTTCTAATTTATTTCAAGTGGGAGGGAGAGAGAGAGAGAAAAACATTGATGTGAGAGAGACACATTGACTGGTTGCCTCCTGCACGAACTGACCAGGATTGGGGAACAAACTGCAACCAAGGTAGGTGTCCTTGAACGGGAATTAAACCCATGATTCTTTAGTCCAAGGGCCGACGCTCTAACCGCTTAGCAACACTGGCCAGGGCTCTATGCGATGATTTTATAGACATGTGAGTTAGATTCTGAGAAAATGGCTTTTATACATTATTTCGCCTCCAAATTCAGTCAGTGCTGGGGACCTCACCAACGGAGGAACATGATCATAGGATGGCGTACAAAAAGAGGCTGAACCTACTAGCTGTTCTGGAAATGGCTTCCTGCAAGATGTTTTCTGCTACTTATGTGAGGCTGTGTAGATGAATTTGAATGCACCCAAACCCATAAAAATCAATTAAAAAAGAACAAGTGAGAACTGGATGGTCACTCATTGGTTTGAGCATCGGCTCATGCACCAGAGAGTCAGGGGTTTGATTCCAGTCAAGGACACATACCTCAGTTGTGGTTCGATCCCTGGTCCTGCGTGCAGGAGGCAGCCAATCAATGTGTCTCTCTCACGTCAATGTTTCTCCCCCACAAACTCTATCTTAAGATAAATTTAAAAATATCCTCAGGTGAAGATTAAAAAAAGAAAGACTACGTTTAATTTTTTAAATCCTCAGGTGAGGATTAACAGCAATAAAATTTGAAGGAAAAGAAAATAACATATGATATTTGAGGTCAACATAAATGAATGTGCACATCCAAAACTCTGTGGGCATGGACCAAGGTTGTGGAGCAGTAAGGAGAATCGTGTGAGAGAAATAGTTGAGGTGAAGAGTTTAGAAAGATGGAGATTATCCATGGGCTGAAAATCTGAGTGGAAATTATAAAGAGTAGAAATGAGTAGTTTGCAATGTGTCAGTAGGCAAGGACAAGTAGACTGGGGTGTAGAACTTGCACTGGTAACAAAACACTGTTAACCAAAATGAGTTTCTTTTTATGACCTTAACAAAGTCCTAAAATCAAACCTTCACCATTGAGCAAGCCAAGATTTCCTGTGAGCCCAACATACCACCAAAGGACTCATGTCCTCTAGTGATACACAAAGGACTCTTCCCCTTAATTCCCAGTTAAGCCATTACATGGGATACAAATGTTACAAATCCTAAGAAAAAAATGGAAGACATGAATGGCCAACACTATTATAGAACAAAACAGCACAAAACTGACCACAGGAAACATGTTCATGTAAGCGACGTCACCAGGATGTGGAACAGGTGATACGAGAATTCCCAAAACAAGTAAACACTTATCCAAAACAAAAACAGGCTAACGAAAGTGGGAAAATAGTCCAATTAAGACAACTAGTAACACAGGAAAGCAAAAAAGGGAGAACCACACAGAAAAGTTGGCTGGGTGAGCAAACCTATGTGGAGATGGCATGGGTCAGAACACAAGTTGAAGATGCCTCTGTCATCTGTAGAGCTTGCCCTTGCATTGACTCTAGTGGCCTGTTTGTGATGGACCCTGGGAAACTGTTCTTAGGAATCACAGGAGGCCCTGAAATTGTGAACTCCCCACAGTTTACACATATAGAAATTGCTGGCATGAATTCCAAAAAAATTCCTTGGCCACAACCTATCCCATGAATAAAACAAAGATCAAGAGGATAATAATTTTAAGTATTATGCACCAAACAACAGAGAAAGTGCATTAAGCAAATAATAGCAGTGTCCTTCTTTCTCCCTCCCTCCCACTCTTATCTGATGAGAAATAGAAAAATACCCTCGGGTGAGGATTAAAAAAATAAATAAATACATAAATACTTTTTGTTAAAAAAAAAGTAACCAGTACCTAAGCCTGCTGGAAAAATGGCAGCAGTAGATGTGCTGAAAGCAAAGTTACCAGAAAAACGTGTTTTTGTTTTTTTTTTAATGTTTTTATTGATTGTTTAGAGAGAGGAAGGGAGAGACAGAAACAATAATGTGAAAAACATTGATTATTTGCCTCTTGCACACCCCTTACTGGGGATTGAGCCTGAAACCCAGGCATGTGCCCTGACTAGGAACAGAACTAGGACCTCTCAGTTCATGAGATGATGCTCAATCCACTGAGCCATACCGACTGAGCAAAAACTGACTTTTTTTAGAGTGAAATATCAGTGAAGTACAATAAAGGAAAGTGCAAAAAAGATGTGTACCTGGCCCTGACCAGTTTGGCTCAGTAGTTAGAGCGTCGGACTGCGGTCCAGAGAGACCCGGGTTTGGTTCCCACTAAGGGCACATATCTCGGTTGCAGTTTGTCCCTGGCCTTGGTTGGGTTGCGTGGGTGGCAGGCACTTGATGTGTCCCTTTCACGTTGATGTTTCTTTCTCTTTCTCTCTCTTTCTCCTTCCCACTTTATTTGAACAAAAAAAGGAAAAATGTCCTCGGGTCAGGATAAAAAAAAAAAAGATGTGTATCTGTATCTGATAAGGATTTAATTTATACAGTATTCAAGGTACTCAGAACACTCATTAGCCAAAAAAATACAATTAAAATAGGGGTTAAGAATGTCAAAAGATTTTAACAAAAAATATGTACAAATGATCAACAGGAATATAAAAATTGCTTTTCCTCACTAATCAAGGTGTAATCCATTAAGCTCTGTGCAAATCTACAGACCTCAAACCCTTCCCTGTGATGGTTCAGTGTAGCAGGTATTGGGGCTACAGGAAGAGAACAGGGCAGTGTAAAAACCCAGCCCTACCAAATACAGTAACTACCCATTAAGTTGTAGAAGCAGCCCTGGCCGGTTTGGCTCAGCAGTTAGAGTGTCAGGCCGCGGTCCAGAGAGACCTGGGTTCAGTTCCCACTAAGGGCATGTACCTCGGTTGCAGTTTGTCCCCGGCTCGGGTTGGGTCGTGCAGGTGGCAACCACTCGAAGTGTCCCTTTCACGTCGATGTTTCTCTCTCTCTCCCACTCTATCTGAACAAAATATGGAAAAATGACCCCGGGTGAGGATTCAAAAAAAAAGTTGCAGAAGCAAGAGGTGCCCACAGTCCTCATGTGAACAAAGCACCTCCTGAGGAAAGGAGGGCATAAGGAAATGCAAAGCTTAGGCCAGGTTACTGGGGAGAGTGAGGATCTTACCCTGTGAGGATATAAGTGCAAAGTTCTCCAGCATCACATCAAGATACAGGCGTCTCTGAGCCTCATCAAGGAGGCACCATTCCTCCCTGGAGAAGTACAGGACAACGTCTTCAAAGGTCACATCAACCTGTCAGAATTAAGACAATTAAAACTGGAGCCCAGCAGGTGTGGCTCAGTGGTTGAGCATTGACGTATGCACCAAGACGTCGCTGGTTCGATTCCCAGTCAGGGTACATGCCCAAGTTGTAGGCCAGATACCCAGTGAGGGGCATGCAGGAGGTAGCCAATTAATGTTCTCTCTCTTGCATGTTTCTGTCTCTCTATCCCTCTTCCTTCCTCTCTAAAAATAAATAAAGAAAAAAAATATTAAAAATTGAATAAGCTCTGGTGGGTTTGGCTCAGGAGTTGGAGCATCGGCCTGCAGACCAGAGAGTCCTGGGTTCGGTTCCCGCTAGGGGCATGTACCAAAAAAATAAATAAATTAAATAAAACTGGCCCTGGCCGGTTTGGCTCAGCGGTTATAGCGTCGGCCTGCGGTCCGGAGAGACCCGGGTTCAGCTCCCGCTAAGGTTGCAGTTTGTCCCCGGCCCCGGTTGGTCGTGTGGGTGGCAACCACTTGATGTGTCCCTTTCATGTCGATGTTTCTCTCTCTCTCTCTCCCTCCCACTCTATCTGAACAAAAAATGGAAAAATATCCTCGGGTGAGGATAAAAAAATAAATCAATAAATAAAATTAAATTAAATTAAATAAATTAAATAAGCTCTGGCGGGTTTGGCTCAGGAGTTGGAGCATCGGCCTGCGGACCAGTCCTGGGTTCGGTTCCCGCTAGGGGCACATACCAAAAAAATAAATAAATTAAATTAAATTAAATAAATTAAATACAACTGGCCCTGGCCGGTTTGGCTCAGCGGTTATAGCGTCGGCCTGCGGTCCGGAGAGACCCGGGTTCAGCTCCCGCTAAGGTTGCAGTTTGTCCCCGGCCCCGGTTGGTCGTGTGGGTGGCAACCACTTGATGTGTCCCTTTCACGTCGATGTTTCTCTCTCTCTCTCTCTCCCTCCCACTCTATCTGAACAAAAAATGGAAAAATATCCTCGGGTGAGGATAAAAAAATAAATCAATAAATAAAATTAAATTAAATTAAATAAATTAAATAAAACTGGCCCTCGCCGGTTTGGCTCAGCAGTTAGGCTCAGCGGTCAGAGTGTTGGTCTGCGGTCTCGAGAGACCCAGGTTCGGTTCCCCCTAAGGGTGTACCTCGGTTGCAGTTTCCCAGGGCCTGGTTGGGTCATGCAGGTGGCAACCACTCAGTGTGTCCCTTTCATGTCAATGTTTCTCCTCTCTCTTCCTCTCTCTCCCTCCCACTCTATCTGAACAAAAAATTAAAAAATGTCCTCGGGTGAAGATAAAAATAAATAAATAAAACTGGAACAGTCTTTCTGAGAACTGCAATCTTACTCTTTATACATCTTCCCCACACTCAACCTCCTTCTGGGCTCCCACTTCAGAGAGGACACCAGGGCTGGTGCCAGAGCTGTGGGCTCTCTCATCACAGTCACATGAACCACTGTGATCTCCCTCAGCAACACCAGCATAGATGTGACATTCAGCAGAAAAGTAGCATTTAAGCTCAAGGCCTTGCCTGCAGGGCCCCATCCTTCCAGACAAGCATTTCCACGGAGTGCCCCAGAACATTCCTCCAAGAAACATCCAAACACCCGACCTTATGCTTAAGTCAACATAGCAGGTGCCCAGGGCCATCAGCTCACACTCCCTCTAGCTGGGCACACATCACTGTGCAGTATCTGTAAGGAATCGGGGGCGCTGCTGAATAAAACAGAGAAGAGACTGGAGAGCCAATCAGCCGAATAAACAGGGATCAGGCTTTATTGGGTACACTCCGGGCAGGTTCACAGACTCTGGGGGTCGAGTCCTAGAAGCCGCGCTCAATGTAGGGGCTGTGTCTTTTATGTCTGCCTGTTGTATCTGGAATTTGTCCCTTAGGGTTTGGCCCTGCGGGAGCTATGCACGGAGCCTCTGGAATGTGAATCGATAAGAGCAAGATGGGAGTTAATCTACATGCTCCAGGCAGGCCGTTCAGGGTGGGAGGCAAGGCTGAGCAAGGTGACAATGGTCGAGCACTTTGCCTGGCGCCAGTCCCCAGGCCATCGGACAGTATCCACCCTCCTTCACATCTTCAGACCCAGCTTCTCGCCCTCAGCCCTGCCACCTGCCTGCTTCACACCTCAGGGCTCTCTCTGGAATCACCCAGGAACTTGGTATAGGGCACCCAGAGTGCTCCAATATTGCACAGCAACCTAGTACCCCTGAGGCAGGGCAGACAAGTAGGAAAAAACCCAGACTAGTGGAAGGAGGAGGCAGGAGCCCAGCCCTCTCACCAGAGCCCCTACCTCGTGGCAGGAACAAAGAGAAACTGTTCACCGCAGGAGCCCCCGCGGAGGTCATGGGAATCAAAGCAGCACCACCCCCAGCCGAGCAGAGTCAGCTCAGCATGTGGCGCCACAAAGCCGGGAGACAGAGCACCAGCCTGGGCAACACCCGAAACCCCAAGAACGGACTGGGCCCCATTCATCGCAGCCTCCAGGCGCCCGGTCCCCTGGACGGCAGTTTCCACTTTCCCACCGGGGCGCCCACGCTGGCCGCCTCCTCCCTCCGCCCGAGTCAGACGCGCGTTCTTCTCACCCCGATTTTCCTCGGTCGGGCCGGGCTGCAGGGCTCAGGGTGGGGAGGCGGCGAGGCCCGGGGACGCGATCTCACCTGGGCCGCCGCCATCGGACTCTGCGGGCGGGGAGGGTCCCTGGCCCGGGCGGAGCGGGTCCCCCGCGTGGCTGAGCCTCACACTGCCCGCAGTGACCAGCACCCCTGTGCCCTCCCCACTGCCTCTGCCGCAGGCACTGCTGACCGCTGAGGGGAGACTGGACAAGAGGAAATTCCCGCCAGGAGGCGGAGGAAGACCGGCCCTCAGCAGTGCCCACACCACACGCCTCTTCTGAGCCTTTCTGGGCCCAGGGTGGTGGTCCACCCAGCCTTCTGGGTAATGTAGTTTCAAGCTCCAAGGCGGGGATCCTGTATTTCCCCCACACAGGCTAGGAGCATTTTCTTTTCTTTTTTTAATTTCTTTTTTCTTTTTTATCCTCACCCGAGGATATTTTTCCATTTTTTTGTACAGATAGACTGGGAGGGAGAGAGAGAAACATCGACGTGAAGGGACACATCCAGTGGCTGCCACCCGCATGACCAACCAGGGCCGGGGACAAACTGCAACCGAAGTACGTGCCCTTAGCGGGAACCGAACCCGGGTCTCTCCGGACCGCAGGCCGACACTCTAACCGCTGAGCCAAACTGGCCAGGGCTAATTTCTTTTTTCTTTATTGATCAGAGAGAGGAAGGGAGAGGGAGAGAGGGATAGAAACATCGATGAGAGAGAACATGGATTAGCAACCTCCTGCATGCCCCCTTTCTGGGGATCAGTCCCACAACCCCCGGCATGTGCCCTGACCAGCAATCAAACCGGCAACCTCTTGGTGCAAGGGTGGACGCTCAACCACTGAGCCAGATTGGTCCGGCCAGGAGCGGCTTTTCTTTTTTCATTTTATATTTTTTTAATTTTTCCTTTTTTTTTTTTTTTTGGTTCAGATAGAGTGGGAAGGAGAGGGAGAGAAACATCGATGTGAAAGGGACACATCCAGTGGCTGCCACCGGCACAACCCATTCAGGGCCAGGGACCAACCGAGGTACATGCCCTTAGTGGGAACCGAACCTGGGTCTCTCCGAGGGCAGGCCAATGCTCTAACTGCTGAGCCAAACCTGCCAGGGCCCCAAAACACACTGGGAACTCCAAGTGTGCTCTATCGTCCCCCAGTGGACATCATTTCTTGAACATGGTTGTCTCTGGTGCACCTGTCTGGCTACTTTTTTCCTCCTAACTGCTGGTTTTGCATTTCTTTCAAGATAGCTCTTTCTGACCTTCAGGCATTCTGTTTCTTGTTAATTCAGGCCATGATATATGTGGCTGATTCAGGCTGACTGTGGTTGGGGGAGGTGCTCAAGTCCTTAAAGCTATCCTGCCTCAGTTGGACCCACTATGTCAAGTTCACAACACAGAACAGACACACATACTTAGAGTACCCATGACTGGGCAATCAGAAGTCTCAGATCAGCTTGTGCAGCAGTCTGGCTAGAGTTCAAGACAGATTGAATGGAGGGGGGCGGGGGGGCGGCTTATGTAATACTTTCAACAATAAAGATTTTTTCAAAAGACATGATCTCCCGGCTGGTGTGGCTCAGCGGTTGAGCATCGATCCATGCACCAAGAGGCTGCTGGTTCAATTCCCAGTCAGGTCACATGCCCAGGTCATAGGCCCAATTCCCAGTGTGTGTGGGGGGGGCATCAGGAGGTGGCCAATTGATGTTCTCTCTCTTCCTCTCTCTCTCAAATCAATAAAGAAATGAAAATTTAAAAAAAAAGAAAAAAAAGACATGATCTGAAGCCTTTGGCTCTAACTATATACTTATGCAAATAAAAGTAGAAGTTGAGCCTGGCTGGTGTGGCTCAGTGGCTGAGCATAGAACCATGCACCAAAGGGTCACTGGTTTGATTCCTGGTCAGAGCACATGCCCAGGTTGTGGGCCTGATCCACAGTGGGGGGCATGCAGGAGGCAGCCAACTGATGCTCTCTCTCTCCTTCTCTCTCTGTAAAATCAATAAAGAAAAAATATTGAAAAAAAAAAAAAAAGTAGAAGTTGAGGATGTCAATGACATGCAATATAGGCATTCCAGAAAGTGTTTGGTTCCAGACCAACTGCAATAAAGCCAGTATGGTAATAAACCAATCACAAACATTTGTTGGTTCCCAGTGCAAATAAAAATTAGGTTTACACTATATATAACCGTAATCTATAAAGTGTGCAAACCATTGTTTCAAACAATAACGTACATAACTTATTCCTAAAAAATGCTAACCATCATATAAGCCTTGATTAGAAGCAATATTTGCACTCGATGCAGTATGCATCCCTAAAAAAGGACATATGCCTGCATTGCAGTCTAGAATATTTAACCACACAAATGACCTACTTACATCATCATATTCATGACAAATATAAC